GTCCTATGCACCCCATTTAACCATGTCTCTTATCACTTCTGAACCATTTAATGCTTCCTTACCTGAGAGTTTCCACTTACTTTTATGCTGGAAAACAGCATCAATCTTCCCATTAATTCCTGGAAATTCATCTTTTATCAGCTTTGGCTTCTTGTCCATGGACTGTCTTCTTTCATCATAACTGAGGAAAGTTAAAAACAATATGAAGACAATTAAAAATAAGCCAAATGCCACGTAAGCCAGCCCCACCCTTTACAGAGAGCCTGTTAACAGTGAACTAAGTGTAACCCACACACCTTCTGGGTGTGGTGTTCTGGCCCCTCTAGTGGCACCAAGACCACCTTAAGAGAGAGCGATAAAATGAGTCTGCTCTACAGCCTTAGCTAACAGCCAGTTGGCTTTTCACTCATGCAGTAGAGGCTCATGCACTAAGCTCCAGAGATGCCTGGTTTGATCCCGCCCACCGACAAGTGGTGTCTGTTGGCGTTACATAAGCTCACTGAACACTTAGCTATTCTTAAACCAGATCCATAGATGGCATAAATCAGCACACCTCCAATGACCTCAGTGGAGCTACACCAAATTACACCAGCTAAGGAGCTGGCCCCTTGTGTTAATTACATGTGCATCTTTGAACATCATACCTGATCTGCAAAACATTTATTGTTTTTCTGCCTAATAGGCAGGATGTGGAGAAGTGAATGATCAGCTACTGTATGGGAAACAGGAGACTATAGTCTTACCCTTAAAAACACATCATTGAAATGTCTACAAGAACTGTTTATCAAGAAAAATCCGCTATTTGTGGGATCATTGTTATAGCACATAAATTGAGGTGCCATATGACTACCATCACTGTACTACCAGCACACAGACTATAACAAAGTGTTTGCTGTAATATTTGTACTTAACGTAGAAATTAAATCACAACCAACTGTGTTCAAACAAGATGAATGGCTTGACCGAAGCTCTCCAAGCAGTGAGTTTTAGGAGCGGAGGATCAGATTGAATCCTTTACTCACCCTATACAGTTTACAAACTGTAACAAATCTGAAATCTGTGGGAGCTAGACACCTAAATAGCTTTCAGGATCTGAGCAATCATCACTTCACAGTGATTACTATGCTGCACATCATGACCACTTGGAACTATCCCACAGTGATACAAATCACATTGTTGTGCTCCACATGTATAGGTCACCTATTACTTGTGCTAAGAGAGAATCTCCTTTAACTGTTAGAAGTATATGGGCTATGACACACAAAGCTGAGCAGTTTTGATTGCATCCAATAGAGAGAATGGTAAACATGCACACTAGCCAATTCACTGCAATATATAGCACATGTTTAGTGGCATAATAATGCCATCTGTTGGTAACTGGACAGAGGAATTGGGAATAATAATCTGAACTTTTTTTTAACCCCAAGAAAAGGTTCTGATAAAAGCATTGTGCACACTTATGACTCAGTATAATTAGGAATTATTGTTTGCTTTAAAATGTGCAGTAAAGCTTTAGATGTCTTTTTTCTATATGTAAGTAAAATAATTTAAGCAAAACTTTCTGTATCTTTAAAAGAACTGTTTCACCTGCCTTTAAAGAATATTATTTTTCTACAGGCAGCGATGACAGTGTAAGAGACTGGCTAGCCAGTGTGCTACTAAAGCATCATAAGGCAAATTAAGGGTACAGTTATTGGTGATGTGGGTTTTGTTTGCTCAGAGGTCCCTATTACCTCATACTCAAGAATGTTGAACATGAAATCTTACCTCCAATACTTGTTAGACACAAAGTAGTATGTTTTTTTTTTAATTGCATTATGAAGAGCTGCATCAATTTTCTTCACACCCTTTGAGAAGCCCAAATCACGGATTTTCTTTGGGTATCCAGACAGTATAGCATCTCCTTTGACAACCCAGAATTCATTTCCTATCAAGAAAAGTTGTTGAAAACATTTTG